AGCCACATGCCCCTCACCCAACCCCTTCCAAAGCACTTGAACATCAGCATCATGGTGTAAGAAAATGGTTCTCAACTGACTTCTGTAAGCACACTTTCTGACTCTGAACTTGTGGGTGGTGCACTTGAAACTTTAAAAAAAACTTCAAAATACTGAAGACAGTAACCGTATATGTTAATTTCAGTGTAACAATGTAACACATGCTGATCTTAGTACAACAGTATAACACATATTAATCTCATTATAACAATGTAACATGTGCTGATCTCAGTGTGACAATATTTCCCAGCAGCTGTGATGCTCTTCCATGGCACGCTCTGTTGTCATTTCAGCATCAGGTCACTGGATACGTTAATCCAACTCCCCTAAGAAGCTTAGGAGACAAAGTTCCTGTGTGTTCCAGTTATGAACAGCCTTCGTTCGCAGTGACAGCTTGACTTTGGGCTTTGTCCTGTTAGCCACAAGAAAAGCTGTAACATCCTTAGATTGTACCAAAAACATACTTTACGTAGTTACGGAAAATTGCCAGTATGGGTACTGGAAATACTTGGTGTTAGGAAAGAATAAAGGCATAATACAGGGGACAGAGACTTGCATCCACATGCTTCAACTAAATCTACCTTTTGGTGTTTTTAAGTCAAAAATCCCCATAGAAAATCATGAAAACTGACAGACAAATAAAATAGTAATCATATATTCCCCCAACCAGAGTTAGCCATTATAAACTATTTCCACATGTATTTTTCCAGGGTGTATTTGCTTAAAATAGTATACTTTATGTTATATAACTACATGTTTTAGTAAATACAGATACTCTTTTCACCTAAGATTGTACCCTGAGAATTTTTCTGTAATTTTACAATTCTTTTAAATTATGTTAATTTCTACATATTTGTTATTGAAATATTCCAGTATTTATTTAACTAATTGAATTGTTGATGGATTTCTAGATTATTTTTATTTCCTCATTAGTGTACATAACACATGAATGAAGATCCTCGTCCATGCGTCTTACCAAACATCCATTTCCTTAGGATAAATGCCCAGAAGGTGAGTGACTGAGTCCAAGCGTGTGGACGGTTTACAGCGGCACCTTGGTGTGAAACAGCATCTATCCCACTTCCTTCTCTCTGAATAGCTAGCCCCGGGTGACTTTTGATAAATCCCATAATCACTCTTGGCCTCTGATCCTGGGCCCAGATCACTGAGAGTGCTACACTGAGATTGACATGTGTTGCACTGAGATTGACATGTGTTACACTGAGATTGACATGTGTTGTATTGTCACACTGAAATTAGTTTGAGTTACACAGAGATCAGCATAATCTCTCTGGGCCCATAATTTCATAATCTCTCTAAGCCCCTGATATCTCTGGGCCCTTTCTCCCATCACCTTTCCAGGGGACCCTCCTGGCACTGGGACCCAGCTCTCTCGCTCATGTTGCACTGCTCCTGGCACGGCAGCCCCAGCAGTGTCTCCCCTTTGATGAGGCCCAGCTAATGAGGGCCTAGAGGGAAGGGATACTTTAAATGCAGGCCTCTCTCTCTCTTTCTGTCTCTCTCTCCCTCTTTCTCTTCTTCTCTCCCTTCCTCTCTCTTTCTTAGAAGCTGCCGGTCTTTGCTTCCTTCATGACTCTTGCTTGGCCTGACTTCCCTTCCCACTTCCCACCAAGTGAAGTTACTGTCCCTCAGCTTTCTCAAACCTTACTGTCCTCCTCTGCAAATAAGAATCATTCTGCCTACTTATACAGACAGACACAGGCTGGGCATGGTGGCTCACGCCTGTAATCCTAGCACTTTGGGAGGCCAAGGCAGGTGAATCAGGAGGTCAGGAGTTCAAGACCAGCCTGACCAACGTGGTGAAACCCTGTCTCTTCTAAAAATATAAAAATTAGCCAGACACGGTGTTGCACGCCTATAATCACAGCTACTCAGGGGGCTGAAGCAGGAGAATCACTTGAACCCAGGAGGCGGAGGTTGCAGTAAGCTGAGATCAAGTCACTGCACTCCAGCCTGGGGTACAGAGCAAGTCTCCGTCTCAAAAAAAATAAAATAAAATAAAATAAGACAGACATTGACTCCCTCCGTAAACATTTACACCACACCTGTCAGGTATTCTTCTAGGCTCTGGGGAAGCAAAGATGAAGGTGCCTGGCCTTCAAGTGAAGAAAAAGAATCAGAGAGCCAGGAACTCCGAGGGCCGCAAAAGTGATCAGTGCCCTTCCTTCTTCGGGTCCAGGAGCTGGACATGAAGGTGGAACACTGGGCTGTTACCAAGTGGTGGCATTGTCTATTTCTAGTTTAATGTCAAGAAAATTTAACCTCTCTGCAACCAGAAAAGATTTTATAGATGACCCCAGCTTTGCTGCTTGCCAGCCATGTGACCTGTACTAGTTTCCAAAGCCTCTGCTTTGTTTTTTTTTTAACCTGTAAAATGGAGCAAATAATAAAACCTACTCAAAGTTATTGTCAGGATTAAACAGGTTGATGCATGAAAAGTGCTTAATACAATGCCTGGCACATAGTAGGTGCTCAGTAAACGATCATTAGCTATTGATATCTAGACTAACTCTGTTAACATCAGAAAAGATGAGAAATTAATACATGGAAGGGTTATTTATCTTGTTCAAGGCCACACAGCCAGCTACAGGTACGGGTTGGGGACAGAGCCCCCAGGGCATTCCTTAGTTAAAATCAATAAGATACTTTGTGCCGTTTATTAGCAACCTCTTTTGTTCATGTGTCTATTTCAGACACTGTGAGTTCTTTCCCTTTATCTCACAGCTCCCCTGCAAAGATGGTATTATCATTCTCATTTTCCGGGTGGGGAACCTGAGGCCTGGACAAGCTGAGTAACCTGTCCTGGGTGCAAAGAAGGCTAAGTGGCAGAGCCGGGACTTGAGCTCAGGTCACCCATCTTCAGGCTTATGTGCCTCTGGATACCACTGGGCCCAGTTTCCAGGAGGCCAGGTTTAGAGGCTTGAGTCTGCCCTTCTCCCCTAGGCAACAGGAGAAAGGCATTTCTGACCAGAAGTCTTGGATGCTTTTTGAGATACGTAGTCATCAGCCAGACACTTTTACCTCCCAGCCCTCTGACTTTCTGGGCTGGTGCCCACCGGTCCCCTCAGCGTTCATGCCTAGGTGACTTAGAGGTCCGAGGTCCCAGGCAGCACCACGTGGCCAGGCGCTCAGTGGACCACAGCACTATACAGCTAGTGCTCGACTTAGGACCATGACTGTTTCCGACAGACCGGTCGTAACACGATTTGGTCGTAAGTTGAGTAGGCTATATGTACAGTACTGTGAAATGATGTTATAAAAATCTTTAAGTCATATTTTATCATAATTTTCTTTCATTATTGTTATATATCATAATTTTCTTTGTTCATTTTATGCCATTTGTATCATCTCTACACCATTTTGTTTCTTATTTTTACATTCGTCAGGTTTAAGTAAAACACTGCATTACAGTACAACTGGTTTAATATTTGCAAAACATACAAAATTACAAAATACAGGTGCATACAAAAATACAAAATACAGGTGTAAAAAATACCATAGGAAACATTTTCCCAATTGCAAAACATATCAAAATATATAAACATGTACGAAACATTTTATTGGCCGCTGGTGCTTGGCTGCGGATCGTTGATGTCATCATCTGAGGCAGCAGTTGAGGTTACAGGAGTTGGTTTTTTCATAAACATGGTGAGCTTTGTCTGAATTGTATGTTTATTTTTTTCTTCATAAATTTCACGATACGGATGAAACACATCGTGCGCCATCCATTCAATCCTTGCAAATCGTTCAATGTTTGGGTCCATTGCTTTGAAATGTATAAGAAGTTTATTCAGCAAAGATAAACCGTCTGATAATCCCTTAGTGGTGAACTTTCTTTCTGGCTCCTCCTCTTCTTTCTCTGCTTCTCTTCTTTCTTCTTCCGCCACTCTTTCTTCTTCCAGTTCGATTAGCTCTTCATTTGTAAGTTCTCCGTATTCTTTGTCTAGCAACTCTTCGACATCTTCCATTTCACACTCCAAAGAAAGGTCTTTAGCGAGCTTTACTATTTTTTCCCGAATTATTTCAAGTTCATGTTCACTGTCATTAACATAGCGCTTAACACAATTTTTCCAGATGCCATTCATGCACTTTGTCGTCACAGCCTACCAGGCAGTAGCGATATTCTTGATACACATCAAAATGTTGTAGTGTTTCCAAAAATCCACAGTGGAGCAGCCGTGGCTAGCGATTGTGGTCATAAAGTCGAATGGTCGTAAGTTGCATAGGTCCTAAGTCGATCAATACCTGTACCCTTTAGACAGGCAGCTGTCACTCACCCCTGACATTTGGCTACAATTACTCTTTCAGTTATTGGCAGTTGAGGAGCTGTTTCCTGACCAGGTGGACAGGGGCCAGCCAGATGGAGGTCAGTGACAGTCCTAGGCTGAGGGAAGCTGGCTTGGAGGACACAGCTTCAGGGACTTCCCCGGGGACTCCCCACATCACTTCCACAATGAAATTGACTCCCCCAAAAAATGCAGAGTGGAAAACAACATGGGCTTCTCTGCCTACTCCCACTCCTGTGCCCTGCTGTGGGTGCCTACCCCTATGAAACCCACAACATGGAGACACAGAGGAATTGCCTTCCATGTAGGCTGGCTCTGAAGGAGGAGAAGGGCTGTGGTGACCATATCCATCCAGTTCCTTCTCCCAAACTCCCTGTTTGAGGAGGCCACCCTAGCAAGGAAGATTGGGAGGAAAGATGCTCATATTAACCCTGCAGGTGCTCAGGAACTTTGACTTTCTCCCCCTCACTTTTTCCTTTCTCATGAAGACCATTGCTTCTAGGGCTGTGGCCGTGAAGATGGTGGCCTAGCTGTCTAGCATCGAAGGCAGTTTTTAATCACAATGCCATTGCTGGTTCCCAGTGCCACGTTCCCCTGTTGTGGCTAGAAATGGAATAATAGCTTTCTCTCTCTCTCTCTTTTACCCTGGACTAGGGCTTGGTCATTGAGCGTCTGGGACGGAGACCCCTTCTCATTGGTGGCTTTGGGCTGATGGCCCTCTTCTTTGGGACCCTCACCATCACGCTGACCCTGCAGGTGAGAGGATGTGCTTGTCACACTTGAGGGACATAAGCACGAAGCTGGCCTCTGGCTTCATGATTTTGGGGCCTTTGATTTGTCGGTTCATCATTCTACAGACAACGCTTGTGATAAAGCTCTCCCTAGGGCATCTCAGCTCTGGGGCTGCTCGGGGCCTCGGGGAGAGGGTTTGGTGAGGGGTCCTTGGACTGGAAGATGAGAGACCTGACTTCTGGTCCTGTCACTACTGCCGATGAGCTGAGTTATCTTGGGCAAGACACTTTCCCTCTCTGAGCCTCAGTTCACCCGTCTGTGGAATAGAAGAGCTTACACTAGATAGCCCTAAGATGCCCCTTCCAGCTGTCACCTCCCAGCAAGAGTGCCAGATGCTGTATACCAGCCACTTCCACAGCTGTCAAAATTTTACAAATGGTGGCTCTGGAGCGAGACAGCCTGTGTGGACTCTGGCCTTTCCTTACTCGTAGTGAAACTTCTGCAAGTCAGCTCCTCTCAGGGCTTCATCTCTACGGAACAGTCATCCATTCCTCCAGGGGTGTTGCGGGATGAAATGAGAAAACACAGAAAGCGCTCGGCACAAGCACTCAGTGGATGTAGATGGAGGAGGAGGGGCGATGATGTACTTCATCCTTACAGCATTGATATTTCTTTCTTTTATGGAGATAAGGAAACTGAGGGATAAATGTAAATAAATAAGCTGCCCAAGGCGACACCACCAGAAAGTGGCAGGCTAGGATGCACTGAACACTGCCTCAGTGTCTCCAGTTCATCTTGGTGCCATGGGAAATGTGAAACAAGGTTACAGCATTTGATCAATCTTTGCATTTTTCAAAAATGCACCTGGAAATTGATAGGTGCATGTTTTGATCACCTGTCAAATGTCTTAGTGGTCCAAATGTTTCTAGAAAAAGCCACTATTATCATGGTGGCATCTGATGGGTGCCCTTCGAAGAGGTGGGGCTGGCGAGCACGCTGACCCGCAGCAGGTGGAAGCGTTGCCTTCAGGGACAATGTGCCTTGCAGATGCAGTTCCTTCCTAACAGCCAGGCCCCAATTGTCCGGAGCCCAGCCATCTTAACAGTCCGAAGTTCTCAGGAAGCCAGCTGGGCAATGTTCCAGGCCATTGTCTTTCTGAAACTTGTGCCAGAAGTTTATAAACGAAGCCTGAAGCCCACGAACCCCATCTAAGCCTCACTTCACAAGGTTTCGGCGCTGTTCCTGGCTTGGCCCATACTTGTCTCCCCCAGTGCCCCACACCCTGCCCCCGGCAGCTCCCCAGGGGGCCTGGCAGCTTCCTCTCCTAAGGCTTTCCTGTGCTTGGCTAGCTTCTCCTTGCTTTCTGGACTCAGGAAGCCTTGGACACTCCTGGACACCTCTTCCTGCAGGAAGCCTCCCCTTGCTTCCAAGTCTGGGTGAGGTGCCCTCTCCTGTGTTCCCATAAGCCCCAAGGGGGAAAGCTGTGAGATCACTTATCGCAGACCATTGACTTTCACTGTTGACGCATCTCTCTCTGAATAGACAGTGAGTGTGTGGTGTAGGGCAAGGGTCATGCCTGTACCATATCTGCATTTCCACCTCCCATCCCAGTGCATGGCACCCAGGGGCAGCTAAGACCAATCAGCTGCATGAGTGAGTGAGTGATTGGTGCCGAAGCAAGCCTTACACTGTACAAGAGTCCACGAAGCTCCTCTCAACCCCTACAGCTAATAGATTTGGACACAAAACAAGGGGAAGGAAAAAGTTCCCCATTCCTCTGTCTGCCCTCTCTACACCTTGCCCTCCATTCCAGACTGTTTGCAGCTCAACCCCGCATGGTGCCCTCTCAGGCTTCTGTGTCCTTGTGTATGCTGAACCCCCTCCTGGAACCTCTTTCCTTTCCTTTCCCACTGGGATGACTCTGGCTCAGCCTACACAGATAAGCGCAGGTTCTTACCTTCCCTTGAGGTCAGCTGGCCTCTCCTGGGGAACCCTGGCACCCCACACACTCAGAACTGGTGACGCTGTGTTCTCATGCTCAGCCATCCAGCTGCTAGAGTAGGAGCAATCCCCAAACATCCTTCTGCACCCAGCACCAAGCCGCCCACCCCCCAGATGAGTGACAGCTTCTCTAGACACATTCCGTGAAATGAATTAACTCATCTCACACCTTGCAGCATGGCATAGGTACAAATACAGTCTTTTGTATAATAATGCAGGAACTGAGACAACTTTTATAAATGTGATAAAGCTGTGAAAATTTCTCATATTGCCTGCTGCAAACTAAGCACTCAATCAATGTGAGTTATTCATTTATTTACCACTTCCTGTATGCCAGGACTATGTAAAACTCATCACCGGCTTCCTCTGATTTCATCACAGCTATAAAATAAGCGGATGGAATGTCTGAAGGATTACCATTGTCGCCATGTTATAGATGCTGAAACTGGGGCTTGGGCACATCAAGTGACCTGTTCAAGGTCACACAGATGGATGGAGGAGGAGCTGAGGTGGAAACTCCGGTCCTCTGGACACCATCACCTCCTCACCTGACCACTCCCTGTTCTCTCCCAGGACCGTGCCCCCTGGATCCCTTATCTGAGTATCGTGTGCATTCTGGCCATCATCGCCTCCTTCTGCAGTGGGCCAGGTAAGGTGCCTCTCCCTCCTCACTGCCCTGCCCAGGGGTTCATGGCATCGCCAAGCTGGAGGACTCTCCTCATGCAGATGGGGAGCTCAGAGCCCAGAAGAAGCAAAGCCTGATTGGGGATGTGTGGCTGCTGCCTTCCCTTTGGCCTAATTTAATTGTAGCTGACTGTCTATGGCCTCCCCCACAGAAGGTGAGCAATGTGCTCACCTGAAGATGAGTGGAGGATGACATCCCACTTCACACTGGTGGGCTCTGAGCCAGAGGCGACCCTGGTTTGTGATGAATCAAAGTCAACCAAGTCATAGTCTGTGCCTGAGGAGTCACGGTCTAGGGTGAAAGATGTGGCAATAATCATGGCCATGTCTAAGACATATTAATCATTGATTTTGTGTTTTACTTGGCTAAGAACTTGACTTGTGTGAACTCATGTAAGGCTCAGGACAGTTCCAGACAAGAGAGAGATGGAAGGTGACTTGCACGAGTGAGTAGGTGGAATTGCCTGACTGCCAGGCCCAGGCCCCAACCACCAGCTTACATGGCACCTGTGTGAGTGTGCGGCTAGAGTATCCCAGCCTCAGTTTACCCAGGACTCACTTCTAGCTCTGCTATCTATTTCCTAGCCATGGGTCAATAAGAAAGACTTCTCCTCTTTGTTAGCCTCAGTTTCCCCATCTGTACAATGACAAGGATGCAGTGCAACTGAGAATCCTACCATCCCCGGCCCTGCACCCACATCCAGCAGGGGCCTCCAGCAGAGACCAAGGTCGGACTGAGAAGGTGGGCTCGGGGCAGGGTCTGACACGGCCATGCATTCTCTCCATGGGATGATGTTCATGGCTCTTCTTTGGTTGTGTTTCTCAGTTGATAAAAACAACACTAAGTTTCTATTGGAACAAAGGGAACTGAACTTCTGTTTCTCCCTTTACATTGCTGATTCTCATGGGCATTACATTCTAGGTTCTATCACATTCATGGTGGATGGAATGTGTCCATTCAGGATATCGGGGTGTTATGATAAGATGGCAAGGTGGGCCATGGAATGGTCGAGGAGAGCATCAGGTGCACATACATGCACACAGCACACACACACAGACAGACACACAGACACACACACACACACACACACACACACGGTGCAATGAGGGTGGTCAGAACAACTACAGGAAAAAGAAGGCACCTCCCAGGCAGGGCAGCAAATGGGCAGGATGAACACACAGCACACGTCGGAGTTGACAGTGGCCACAAGGAGTACATGTGTTTGGTTCTCCAGGGAGTCTGCATCACAGCTCACATCCACATCTTCACATCACTGCTCTGGAGGTGTCCAGCCTGTGGCCTACGCTAATCTCGAGACACGGGTGAGCAAACCAGACAGAGACAGTCTCCGCTCCCAGAGGGCTTGCCTCTGGTGTGGAAGTCCCCTCTGAGATGTCAGCTGCTCAGTGAGGCCTCTCCTGGCCACTTATTCTAAAACCAGCACACACACGTGTACCATATACACACGTACACATGCACACCTACTCTCTGTCTCATCACCCATCATAGCATTGTTCTCAGGGGCACATCTGTTTCCTGCATACTCATTTGTTTAATGCAGACATGGGAAGCTATTTTTCTGTAAAGGGCCAGGTATAAATACTTTTGCTTCACAGGCCATGCATTCTCTATCACAAGTACTCACCTCTGCCATGGTAGTGCAGACACAGCCATCAGTAATGAGTAAACGAATGGACTGCATGGCTGTGTTCCAATATAGCTTTATTTACAAAAGCGGGCGGTGGGCTGCATGTGGCCTGTGAGCTGCAGTCTGTCTTTAATGTGTGTCTCCTCCAGGCTAGAAATAAGCTCCATGAAAGGACCTGGTATGTTGTTCATGATCTTATCCTGATAGCCTAAACTGTGCTGAAGACACAGTAAAGGCTCCATGAGTGCTTGTTGGAGAGGGAATGAAATAACTGGGCAGAGGGCTGGAAGGGAAGATGTGTGCTTCTGTGAGCACTGTAACACTGGAGCCTGCCCTGGCAGCAGGGTTTTTCAAAACAAAGCCTTGGAAGAGAGAAGTGGAAACAAAAGACCCGTTGTCCTGCAGTATCCCTGAGCTCTAAGGAAGAGGCAGTGGGGGCTTAATGGTATCAAAAATATAAAGATAGCATTAGCCAATTGTACAGAGCAAAAGGATTAGTCAAGCTAATACCAGGATTCTTTTTAGAGAAAGAACAAAAATAAGGTTTAATTTCATTCAGATCAATTTTTCAAGCCTTTATCGAGCACCTGCTCGATAAAGGAGGGAGAGGATAGCAGGGGGAAGATAAAAAAGAACCAGATTTTTTTAAATGAGATACACATTTCTTTTTTAAGTTCCAGGATACATGTGTGAAACTCACAGGTTTGTTACAGAGGTAAACATCTGCCATGATGGTTTGCTGTACCTATCGACAGCAGTTAAGGTATTAAGCCCAGCATGCATTAGCTATTCTTCCTGACGCTCTCCCTCCATCCACCCCACCCAGACAGGCCCCAGTGTGTATTGTTCCCCTTCCTGTGTCCATGCATTCTCATTATTCAGCTTCCACTTATGAGTGAGATCATGCGGTGTTTGGTTTTCTGTTCCTGCATTAGTTTGATGAGGATAATGGCTTCCAGCTCCATCCATGTCCCTGCAAAGGACATGATCTTGTTCCTTCTTACGGCTGCGTAGTATTCTATGATATACATATAGCACATTTTCTTTATCCAGTCTGTCATTGACGGGCATTTGGGTTGATTCCATGTCTTTGCTATTGTGAATAGTGCTGCAATGAACATATGCGTGTGTCTGTATAATAGAACGATTTCTATTTCTTTGGGTATATACCCAGTAATGGGATTGCTGGGTCAGATGGTATTTCTGAGAACCAGATTTTTAAAACTTTAAAGTCAAAACTGAAGGGTTTGTCTGCTATCACATACATTCTCCCACGCTTTCCTCCATTAAACAAATGCACTGTTACACAGATGGCCAACGGCTTCATAATCACCAATCCCCCAAAAGATGGTTTTGTATCTTCAAACTTCAGTAATTAAAAAAAAAGGTTTCTAGCCAGGTGTAGTGGTGGCATGTACCTGTAATCTCAGCTACTCAGGAGACCGAGGTGGGAGGCTCACCTGAGCCCAGAAATTTTAGGCTACAGTGAGCTATGATGGCACCATTGCACTCCAGCCAGGGTGCCGGAGAAAAAGCCCATCTCTTTAAAACATGTTTAAAAAAATTTTTTTTAAAATAACATGTTCCTGAGCAGGTACCTTGAATGATTCACATGTGCATTCTGAATTCTGAGTCACTTTAACAGAATGTATTAGTCAGTATAATGCTAGCTGCCTAACAAGTATGTCTCTGAATGACAGAGGCTTCACACAATAGAAATTCATTCTTGCTCACAGAACCACCCATGGCTAGTGTCCCAGGTAGATGAGCACATGCACCCAGTTTCCTTCTGGGTTGTGGCTCTGCCAGCCTCGAGGGTCTCTGGTCTACTGCATCCAGTAGGCAGAAAGAAGAGACTGTGCAGAAATCTTTTTAAGAGCCCTGACCAAGTAACACCCTCTCCTCCACACATATTCTAGTGGTGAGAACACGTTCCATGGCCAGCCCTGGATGCAGAGTTGGCACTTTAACACCAGCTTCCCCCAAAGTGCCCAGTCCTGGCCTGAGATTTAGAAGGTTATCAGGATGTATTCATACGTGGTTTAATCATGACTCACATAGAAGGGGCCAGATAGGCACTAAGCTTTAATGTGTGGACTGGGAGGTGCTGAACCCACAGGGCATCCTTAAAGTGATCAGTTAAACCCAGAAGCAGTGGCTTAGGGCTTCCCAGGCTTGGTCCTGTTCTTCGCCCGGTCCTTACCACACTCACTCAGTTTCCACTCATCGTGGCATTCAGGCACTGGCCTTTCTTCAGCATCGACTTTCACTTAGACACTGCGCCAGCTGCCTTACATATATCACCCCTGCTGTGCAAGATGGAATTGCAAATTAGGATTACCACTCTCATCTACAAATGAGTAAACTGAAGTCCAGAGGGGTTAGGGGCTCCCCTGATAAGAAACAGCCAGTAAGTGTTGGAACTAGGATTTGAACCCAAGTATTAAAAATCTGTGCTCTTTTCATTCTACAACAAAGCATAAGAATCTACCTCTAGGCACTACCCTTGACTCTCCGTAGCACATTCACATCTGTCCCCAAATCCAGTCTCTGATAATAACTTCATTGAGCACTTACTCTATTCCAGGTCCTGTTCTAAGTGCTTTAATTTTCACAAAAATAGTGGGTGAATATAAGACAACACAGTCAGATTTTCAAATCTGTGTGTGTGTATGTGTATGTGTGTGTATGTCTATGTGTGTGTCTACGTGTGTGTATGTGTGTGTACGTGTGTGTGTGTGTGTGTGTGTGTGTGTGTGTGAAGCCATCTCCCCATTCTTCTTTGCCATATTACAATGCAGAGTAGTCCAGATTTAACATATGAGAGCTCTAAAAAGGACATGCATGCATCACCTCCATGAAAGAAGCTATTTTCTGCATTTTATAGGCAGTTAATTTTTTCAGCTGACACTGACATTTTCCAGCAAGCTAGCCCCATAGCTATACCTCCCAATCTAAGTAGACCAGGTATAGCTCACTGAAAGCCTTGCGTATATAAGGACTCTCCCTTATCGTTCTGCTAATAAACACTCTAGTGAGGTTGGTGCGGGAAGTTTATGTGGAGAATAGATGAGGCCATTTATTTCCCTGGTTTCTGTCTGTCTGTCCTAGAGGATAAAAGATGGTTTATAGATCAGCTGCTAAATCCTTCCTTCCCAAACTAACATTTTTCCCATTTTATAGATGAAAAAAACAAAGTTTAGATTGATCAAATAATTTTTCCCAAATCACATAGCTAAGAGGCAAATACTGGATTTAAATCTTCACCATCTTGTTCTAGAACCTTAGCTATTTGCTAAAGATTAATTTTGAAATTTACTTGGAAGGTTAAAAACTATTGCAAGGAGAAATGGCCTAAAGAGAATTGAGGATAAGAGGAGAAGTCGTCTGTTTTTATCTTCTCAGGATGGGGTTACTTTTTTTTTTTTTTTTTTTTTTTTGAGATGGAGTCTTGCTCTGACACCAGGCTGGAGTACAGTAGCATGATCTTGGCTCACTGCAACCTCTGCCTCCTGGGTTTAAGCAATTCTCCTACCTTAGTAGCTGGGACTACAGGTGTTTGCCACCATGTCCCAAGTAGCTGGGACTACAGGTGTTTGCCACCATGTCCAGCTAATTTATTTTTTGTATTTTAGTAGAGACAGGGTTTCACCATATTGGTCAGAATGATCTCAATCTCCTGGCTCGTGATCTGCCTGCCTCAGCCTCCCAAAGTGCTGGGATTACAGGTGTGAGCCACCGGTCCTGGCCGGGGTTACTCTGGATCATCATAAATCAGTCCTGTTTGTGTTTACATGGAAAGAAATCATTTTGTCATTTGTATCTAGTAGTCAGATCAGCTTGGCTGAGGATGAATTAAAAGCATGTTGATTTTCATAATTCCAGCCTTTCATGCTTCGGGTATTATCTCAATGCAGAGGCCAAGAACAATCTTTGGTCTTTGTCTCTTAAGTTCAAAGACACCTAAATCATAGCACTCAGTGTTGAAATGAAGTCTGTGCTGACACATGCAGACCTCTACAATGAACTAAGGCAGAACACAACGTGAGAATGACTTCAGAGCTGGAGGGAGATCATCTGGCAGATGAGGAAACATTCCAAGGGCTCAGGTGAATTAGAACTAAGGCATCCCAAGTTTGAGAAAGACCATGACGATTTTCTAGTTGAGTCATTTATCAGAAGCTGAAGTCCTAGTCATGGTCTCCCTGCCAGGAATTCCTTCAGCCATGGCTTGATTGCATCTATTAACAGGGAACTCACTGCCTCACAAAACAGGCAATTCAATAGTCTATAGGTCAGATTTGGTCCCTGGCCTATTTTGTATGATCCATCAGAAAAGAATGGCTTTTGCATTTTAAAAGGGGGAAAGAAAGGATGCATGCCAGGGACCACATGAGGCCTAAAAGCCTAATAAATTTTCTTTCTAACTTATTATTTTGAAAATTTGTCAACCCCTGCTATAATTCCTTAGCTCTGAAATTTGGAACTTGGGAGAGTGAGCTAGCTTGTGTGGTAGGGAAGGAGGAATTTCCAGGCAGTGAAAGCAGCCACTGCCGGAGTATAGAAAGAAGTTCATGTCAAAGGAACCTTAAATAAATAAACCACCAGGGCCAGAACAGGGGTGCTCAAACATTGCTCAGTCACCTGGGAAGCTTTTAAAGCACTGGTGCTCAGGCTACACTGAAGGCCAACGAAGCCACCGTCTTAGAGGGGTAGGGCCCAGGCTTGGCATTTTCTAACATTGCATGATTCCAAGTTGCAGCCAAGTTTAAGAACCACTGGGCTGGAGCAGTTTTTAAAAACTGGCTGAATATATTACCATCACCTGGAGGCTGAAAAAGAAAACCACAGCAAACACTGATATTCCGTCCTCGTCCAATGACAGCTAAGTGCCCGTCAAGAACCACTGCCCAGAGTGCAGGGCGAGACACAGAGAAGAGTCAGGAGATAAGCTAGAAACAGAACTCAGAGGGTCTTGGATGTTGCACTAAGGATTTGCAGCTTTGTGGAACTCCCTAGAGATCTGTTGGGGAATCGTGTACATGAACTTCACAAGGCAGATCTGCAATGAGACAGGCAGAGACACCAGCAAGGGGCCTGGAGCAGCCAGCCCACGGCAGTTATCTGGGACAGTGCCACCGCTGCAAAGGGTCCCGTGGGCATTGCCACTATGATAAGCGTAGGTCATGAGGGCAAGAAAGCTGTACATTTCATGGAATGACTTAGTGCTTCTCGAGCTATCTTTTTTCATAACAGCTATCTTCCCAGAAGAAACAGTAAATGTTGGCATTGTATCCAAGTGAAAAGGCTGGCCTTCCTCCCCACCCATTTATACGAATAAGACAGATTGGACTCATCCACAGATCTGCCTGAAGTTCTTTACTAACCAAAACCACAAAGCTTTGCCTTCTCTGTTTAATTCCCAAGCCCTCCCAAGCCTTTTTGCAATGATCCTGACTCTGTTCCAAGTGTTTGCATATGTGGTTTTCTTTTGACGGTAGAACACGCTACATTTCCAGGCTTTCAATGCTGGGTTCCCCATCAGGGTCTTTGGGACTCCCTGGAGGGAAGGCCACCTGCACCTCCCAATCCCAGATCACCTGTCAGCCCCTGCCCTCCGCTTCCCCAATCCACCTTCAGCACCCTGTGTTGACCCAGCAGCTGGGCCTCGCTGGCTAGCAATGACTTTAGTCACAAGATTGATCAGGGCTTAGAAGCTTCATTTAAACTCACATTGACAGCATACAGTTTAAGGCCAACGGGAACTTAACAGTCTAAAGAAAGCTGCCACTTAGACTGTGAGATCATCTGGCACCTTCTGAAGTGAACAGGGAAGAGCAAGTCCCCAGAGGAGCCACCCAGGGAAAGTGTCGCAGAAGATGCTGAGAGCTGAATGGTGGGGAGACTCGCTGGCCTGCTCTCCATGATTAAAGAAGAGGATGGATCTCCCAGGAAAGGGCCAGGAGGCCGCCTGAGGCAGTTTCTGTGAGGAACAGCTCAATGTGAGAAGACTTGACAAGGAGTTGAAATTAGGTGACAGGAAAGAAAGAAAACAAGACAGGCAGTTTCCTGCAGCGTATTTTATTGGTTTGCATAACCCCAAGGCAGTGGCAGAGAAGTCTAATGAATGAGGCAAATTAAAAGAGCTTCACCTTATAAGAAAAGAAGATCATTGCCCAAATGTGTCAATTCCAGTTTAAAAGATCTTACGATGCCCTGATTCTGCGCCCGGCACCAAGTTAAGTCGTCTATGGGGAGTTTGTGTTTAAGCAGGATGGACAGAGGCAAACAAGCTGGACAGGCAAGGCCGCTGCCATTGTCAAGGTGCAAATTAGGGTCTGAGAACCCCAGAGGGTAGAGCGGTCCTGATGGAAGATGCCTTACTCAGTGCATGCCTTGCTTGGAAAAAGGACTCCTCTGTTTATCACGTTTATTTCACCTGGAAAGACCGAAGGGGCGTACTAACATTTGAAGGGACCTACATGGTCAGCTCTGCGTGCCCTGCCTGCCCCTCCCTGTCTACCCCACATTCTCCCTGCACTGCAGCCATCTGGAGTCACAGGCAGCTGCCCCCTACCCCCACCCATGCTTCATGGTCCCAGCCTTTGCATGTGCTATTTCCACTTGCAACACCACCCATTTTCATCCATTTGAGGTATGGCTTCTCATCTTTAAAAAGTCAGCTCATACTGCATCTTGAGGCTTTCTTAGAAATAGACAGCCCCTCTGGGCTCCCACAGCCCCTGGATTAACTCCTAGTGTATCCCCACCACCCCTATTACAATGGCCATGGTTGACCAGTTCTCCTAATGTCAGGGACTGCTTCAAAGACAAGAACCTTGTTTCTATCACCTGTCTCCAAACACACAGCCTGACAACAGGTCAGCACTCAATACATGATTGTCTTTTTCATGG